TTCAGGGCTCCGAGTTTGACTTTTAAGAAGGTAAGTTGTTCATATAGATAGATGGAGGTCTGATTGGGTAGGCAAAGATGTTTGAAACTCGGTTTCAAGAAAATTAAGTAATCGAAAAATATCGAATGTCTGCAGAATTTCTCAAGCTGATACGACAAACTACGCTCGCACAATCAGCAGACAACCACGAACATTTATTCGGAATTACAAAATTTGGCAGAGAAGCGATGAGAGATGTGGTAAGAAAAGAAGATTTTTATTTGATGGCTGAAATAAAGTTGCAGATGTAGAGAGAGTGGTCCATCAGAACATCGCCAGCTCTGTCATCGAGATAGTCACGATCCTGCAGCAAGCACGACCACCTACTTCGGTTCCTTACTCCACTATCGACGCAGACGCGCATAGTCAAACGAATAGCATAAACATTTGATATTTAGAAATATGCTGTAAAACTTCCTCATTCATAGTAAGGTTTCACATTCAAAAGCGCTTACGGTATCATTCGCTTTCGAACTACAACGTATGTTAGAAGGCTGGTTCTTGGACACGGTTATTCAAGGTGTTCGCAAGCACACGATATCCAGTGGGCAACCTATCCAACAACTTCTTATCCTATTTTTTATACCTTTTTTAATAACTTAGATTTAGTGCATTTTCTTTCTATAATGTTGAAGGGACGAAACCGTAGTGCATTTAGGCCCAATTAGGCGGTCGCCGGGCTGCTTTCGACCAACCCCACCCTCCCACCAATATTGCTACTACGTTAGTAGAAATGCTCCCTACCACTAAAACACTTGACGTAAGCTACTTTTTCCATTATTCAAGCAAATTCTAATGGTCAGAAGATAAAATAGTGGTATTACAGGACAAATGCGCTATGAGCAGAAAGAAGAAAATTGAAGGTAGGCAAGCCCTACTTAGCAGTAAATAAATTCGTTTAAATGTAGTTTTAGATAGATAGCTACCACTCCATTTTATTATTTTTAGAGTTCAAAAAGGCTTTCCAATTTTTCGACATCAATAATGATGGCTTTATTACGATGTCTGAACTCGAGAAAGCGATGAATGAATGTGGTCATTACCCGAGTAAACTTGAATTACGTCTCGTCATGTCCCACGGAGACAGCGATCGTTGGTTTTTTCGCTTTCGTTTTTCCTTTTTTTTCGAAACTTTTTAAAACATGTAATAAAGTGATCGCACGTATTGTTATACTTTCAAATTAAAGGAAAAAAATCTCAAATAGGAAGGGAGCAACGCAATAGTAGTGATGCCTGACCATCACGTGCACAGTGCTGGTTTGAACCTTTATTGGACTCTCCAAGTCACTGTTTTCACCGGTGTCTGGAAATTGGTGCCAGACCTGTCAGAGAACAATTCAGTCTCTAGTCTAAGGAGAACGTCACAGCATGGAAAGCTCAGGAGTCCAGAGAGAATCAGCTCCTCGGCATTCAAAGACATTCGTAACAAAGATGAAAAAATCCTCCAACAGCAGCCCAACCCATGAAAGAAATGGTGGCATCCTCACTTTATGGCTAATATTGGAATTTAATTATTTACATTTTCGTGAATAACGAGTCAGTAGTGGAATGAGGAAACTGCAGCAATTATTCTGAACTAACGCCTGAAATGCATTGGGGTCCAATGCATTCGGCGCGAAAGCAATACCCGCTTTCAGATTTGAACAAACATATACTAGTTTATACCAGCTTTCATTTTACACCAGGTAGAATAAAAGTCACTAGAAACTCCATTCTTTCAATATGAGATGTTTGCTTTTTATTTGACCAAGATGGAGCTCTGTTTCTCTGGAGCTATATATCTCTTCGTTTTTTGGCGTGATTGCTCATAGTTTGGAAACGAAAGCATTAAATCATAGCGGAATTTTTTTAGGAAGATACGATAGTGTTCCCAAATGTATCCACTATTATGCACAATGCAACAGGACAAAGCCTCTTATGCGAATCTATGTGGTTTCTAACTCCTCAAATATTCTAGTGATCATTGCCAATTTTGAGGAAACAGATTCGCGCGTTATTTGTTAAATACGACAACGAATTAAAGAGAGACATGTACGAGACATATATGCTTCATATTTTACAAATGTTCTAAAGCAATGCTGGCCAATGTTTAAGGATTGTTGGTCTTTTGGGCACTAGAGCGTGGAATTTTCTCAACAAAAAAAGTTTGTAGGAAAAGAAAATAAGTGTGCATCGATTTCTTTCTAGAATTTTACTGTTCTGTCCAAAAGGAAAGAAATTTCGTGACATGTTCAACCAGGTGGCTTCCTTCCACTACGTCCAATCATTCACTGATCATTCTTATTGCGATATTAAGGCCAACTTCACGCATGTGAACAGTTTGAGTCATATATGTCTCATATGACTTATTGTGCTGTTATATTCATAAACATTCACTTTTTTCGTTTATAAGAGTTTGAAAGCGGGTGAAAGTAATACAGTGAAAAAGCACAGACTACTTTCTGTAAGCCTTCTAATTATTTAGTCATTTTTTCATTAAATAAATATAGAAACTATTACGTTCTTATAGAAAATGTTTTAGATAACGGTGTGATTACATTCGATGAATTCGCTCATTTGATGAGTGGAAGTAAATCCGCGGGAAAATACACATATTCACAATTACGTGAGCAGTTCAACATGTTCGATAAGTTGAGAAATAGTTTTTCTTAATCATAAAAATCGTAAAACTGTAAGCTGCAAATTTGTACTTTTCAACTAGACGGGCGTCACATATTGTGCGGTTCGCAGCACTTCCTTCGTGTGATTAGTTTCTTCGGTCATCCACGAAAGTTCGGATTTGTGAGTCAGGCTGATCCAAGAAGATTTTGTCTTTTTTATCAATTCCGTTCCAGACTGATCGAAATAATCCTTTCTGAAATTCAGGGTTTTCATAGATCTTCATCACAAGCGTTGCAGTCATTAGCAATTGTAGATTTGAGGGTAGATCTTCTCTGACAGGTGTCTAAACAAATTCGGAATCCCCGAGAGATGGGAGGCCTGACTGATCGGGTGACAGGTTGTCTTATGCCTATAACTTTGTGTAAAAAAAAAGATTCTCTAAGAACTCTGATAAGTGTTCAAATGTTAAGGAAAGAATTACATTCAGCAATTGCCTCTGTACTAAGTAATTTCTCAGTCCTTTTTTCTTCATTTTTTTTACACTACTGTTTATTTGACGGCAATAGAGTAAATGCCGTATCAAAAACCCGATGAGATCATTTTGCCAATGCTTTTCATGATTTTCCACAGATTTAGATCTAGGCGGTTATTATTCCCTTCTATTGATCTGTATAAAAAACAACCAAATCGATCTTAACCTTTTTTATTTAATGTCTAGTATAATTTTTAACGGCAGGGTATGATGTGAAATACAACTAAGATAATGCTGAGATAACTAGCTGAGAGACAGGCGAAACGAAGTAGCCGCATGGTGTGGTGGTGAACGCGTTACTCCCCGAAAAGGACAATAGCGTGCTCGTTCCCCACCGCTGACACCTGCAGTCCAGAGTTTTGCCAATATCTCAGCATTATTTTAATAACAAATTAAATTATTACTAGCAGTTTTTTGCAATCTTTGTTTTCATCCTGAATTTTATAAGAATTATTTTTAGCAATGATTCATCTTCCAAATACATTCGTTCAACTGCAGCAAGTGAGTAGTTAGGTGTTGATAGGTTTTCTATTTAGTGCTTAGCAAACATTTTCGGCAAATGAACGTAAAAGTCGAGACCAGCTGTTGCCAGCGATTTAGACCTAACAAATTGAATTCATAGGCTGGGGTAGTGTACTGGTAGAGCTGCTAACTCGGCACCCATGGTTCGGTAATAGTGAGAGTCACTCAAGCCTTCCATCTCTCAAGGAAATGAAATTGGGGCCGGAATTTTCGGCAAGAGCCAAAGAAGACATCACCAATAGACATGGACCGGGTAGTACCTACGGTGAAAGACTGGGATAGTCCTGGTACGAATATCCTACGACTACGCAGAGAAACGGCTCGACAACCACTGAACAGTATCCATGAGGAAAATCAAAGTCATTAAGCATTAAAGTCGTAAAGCAGCGACCGAACCTTAGCACAAATCTGAAGACCTTCCTGGATGAGGGCGCGAAGGAACAAAACGAATGAATTGCTAGGATCTTCAAAATATTTAACCGCAGGTCACATAAAACAATTCGATTTCACATGAAATCGTTCTCCAAAACCATACCAGTCGGTGGAGAAATAATGAAATTGTTTGTCATGAAACCAAACGTTAGCTAATTATTTGGAACCTGGTATCAGTATCACACTCCTGGCCCTCTCTACTTGTAGGAGGTTTTGGGAAAGCTGCTGGATGTGCTGGAATCCTCGACTTTCACTTTTTTCCACTTTCTATGCTAGACAGATGCCACTATGTTGGAATCAGCTTTTTTCTCTTTTTCAACGTTATACGTGGATGTTTTTCTGCCATTAGGCCGATTCAGTGGAATTTTAGCCACATTCCCCTTCTAAGACTCTATTTCTCATTCATTTTGTTGCAATAATGACAAGGCCTTTCCCAACGGATATCTATTGCTGCAGATATTTTAATTTAGTTCGTTACCAGTTTATTACCCTTACTTTTTCTAAATCATCCTTAGTTCGTAATGTGGAGTTACGCATTCCTCAACATCCCTTGATTTTCCATAGTCAGTAAAGTTTATTACAATTCTAAATACGTATCTCACTATGTTTATGGAATCATTACCACTGAGTCATGTTTCCGGGTACTAATTTGTGATCTACAGCAGAGGCTGAGCTCTAGGAACATTTGGCAAACTTAGAAGAAGTTCAAAATTTATATCCAGAAGCCAAGGCAGGAACAATAAACCTGCGTCACAGCAGAGTTTGCGAGCTTCCCTTTGTCACTTTCTTGGCAAAAACCAGTGCATCTAGCAAATCAAAAAGCAAATTCCAGAGCCGCGTTGTTGTCAAATGAATTTAACTTCAAACAAAATGACTTAATTAAAAAATTGAAAATGCGCTTAGCTAGATCTTAACGAAATGACAAAGGGCGCTTCTTCTAGAAGAGAGTTCCTGGTCTGCAATTGTTTTAGTACTCACTACGAACTTATTTGCTTGACCTAGTGATTAAGCGCCTGCATTCCCGGCTTTAATACTCAGATTAGATTTAGATGCAGGGATACGGCAAAGAGAATCCCAGATGTTCTTCAAAAAGTCCCAAAATAGGAGGAGTAGAAAGGGCTTATCTCCCACGGGAATACCCAAGATCGAATCTTTTAAGGTAATAGTGAAGATCGACTTTCTATTAATCTCAGTATTGATCAAAACCTCGCTGCTTTCATCTTAAACAGACGTGAGGTTCTTATTATATTATTTCATAATAGTAGATGACGATTCGGCGAATTTCGTCTTCATCGGAATCTGAAAAGGCCAAGTTGACTGCAATTTAGTCGGCTAAACACCTTCACATTGTCAACAGGGAAACCATGATTTCCATCGCAATGTAAGCAAAAGGGCTTCTTCACACGCTCGCCGCACACTCTAAGTTTTCCACCGAGTATTCCACGTGGAGAACAACCGCATAGAGGTAACATGCATGAGTAATATGGAATATGTGAAGTATTCTGTGCAAGACTCATAGAAAAACGATGTGTGAAGCTGTTTTGTTTTCAACGCGTTTGAAATCTTTAAATCGCGGTTTTCACTGCTGAGGTTATGGAGATGTTCAGTGTAGTAGGTTGTAATCAAATTCACTTTCCCAGGCTCTGAAGAAAGCGAACTCCGGCAAAATGCCGACTACAATTTATAAGTGGTATAAAAAGCACGTCATGTGTGCTTACTAATAAAACAGCTCCTCTTTTATCTTTCTCAAACTACAGCCGAACGCTAATTTTTCTTAAATGTATGATATGTTTCCTTTGCTCGATGAAGTCAGACGCGCTACAATCTGCTTTAGATTGGGATCAGCAAAAGAATATAAAACTTTTTCTTCCGTCCACAGTACTTGTACCAGACGCCTTATGCCCATAGAAATAAAACCAAAGTATTCTTTTTACAGAAGTCTGGCTGAATGTAAAACTTTGTAATCTAACATATCTCCTCGGTTAAAGAGTCATTCGGTTGGTCTTCTGTGATCTGGTAATCATTATAAAGACTATAGGTGTGGCTTTCATGACTACTTCCTACTCTGCTTACTGAGCGTGGTCTCTGAACTTTTCGCTGAAGACATCGTTAGGTCAACTGATCTGGATGAGGCCTATCCTATGAAAAAAGCGGGACATTAAAAAACATTTATCTAAATAGACCGTATCCACAAAAATTCGCTTTGCAGACGGCATTGTGACCTTCCTGAGCAGTGTCACAAAGGAAGAGACAATGTTTTCCAGATCTTTCAAAATAGAAAAGAAAGAAAAGACTACTCTGAATCAATAAGAAAAAAATTCAATTCGTGAAGAAAACTAAATGTTTTTTCTACCCTGAATATATCTTTGAGAGAAAAACACTATAGAACCTCGTGGGCCTCCTTTGAGCATACAATAGAGGAACGCTGATAGGGTGAACCTAAACGCTCACTTATTTGGTGAATAGTTTTTACGGATAAAGGCATTTTGATAGAAACGTGCGCTAATACTTCGGTTATATCGAAAAGGATTCATAGAAAATGTAAAGGACTCGAACAAGATCTTGGGAAGATGGACGAGCACATCCGAAGCCACTCCAGTTTCCAAGTAGTTTGAGAATTATCGTTCATAACAAACTCTACATTTAAAGTGTACTAGGCATTGGAATACAAGGGAAACTGTAGGAAGAAATCCAGTAACTGAGGGAAGGGAGCATTAAAATGAATCCCTAGGACCGAAATAATCTTGAAGGTTACCTGCAAAACGACAGGTTGGCCTGTTCGTTGCGCGCGAATGCCAGCACCGTCAGAGGTGGAAACAACTTTCATATCTTCAAGGCACGGCAGAACCAACACCCGAATACGACCAATACGATGAGATAGATAATAGTTGCAGGACATTGAAATAAATGAAAGGAGTTCTAGGAATCGAAGTAGGAATGTAACCTTCAACAAGTAGGAAATAGTTCAGCTAACGCACAGTCCTAAGAACACCGATCATTTATTCGTTTTTAATGGTGTGAGTGATTTAATAGCAGGGCTAATGAAAAACTCTAAACTAGGCAACAAGTGTAGTAGTTAGATAGAATTTTGTCAAGTTTTTCTAGTAGGACTAAAACATGACGATGAACCTCATTGAGCCAAGACTGTGAACTCCAACCATTGTGTCTGTTATCTTCTATTCATTCACATTTGTTCATCATTATGTCTACTAAGTGTCAAGGGCGTGCGTGGCGCATTAGTTTTGCGCCACTGCGACACACACGTGGAATCGATCACTGCGCCTATGGCCCACCAAACCCTCCATCCCCCTGGGGTCGGTACATTGGAACAGGAATTGTCTGGGAGGATAGCAGTGCTGACTCGATACATTGGCAAGTCATTGTAAAGGCCGGATATGCTTGCATTAACCTTCAACGATACTTAATGAAGCCGAATGCATGGCGTATCTCTCAGGGATTGATCAATGCTGGAAGCTTTATCCTTTATCCTTTTAAGTGGTAGCATTACAACTAGAAGGGTTAAAGCGAAAGGGAGGTGAAGGTAGGCAAAAGATTTCTTCTAGAAAGAAATCCGTAGTGCTTTCAGGATAAGGACGGTTACATTGAGAAGAATGAAATGATCGAATGCGTTAAGGAGCTGTCACTAAGTAAAAGTTATCCACGTCCGGTCGTCGAGGAACTCTTCAAAGAGGCTGATGCTGATGGAGATGGAAAGATTTCGTTCGAAGGTTAGCTTCCACAATGAATGGAAAGACTTATCAGTACAAAAATCTTCAAGAAGAATTGTTTTCTAGATTAAAAGATATTAATGGGAACAATTCGGAAACTCACAAACTCTAACTTTTATTTACTGCCTGTTCTTTTCTTTGTGGCAGAGTATTTTGTGAAATATGACTACAATGATGCTGAGATATGAGCAAAACTCCAAGCCTCAGGTTGGCTTCGAACTCAAGATCAACCTTTGCGAGAGCCATGTTCTGTCTACCTCACAACCAAGGCGTTAGAAATAGACTGTTGTAGTAAAAAACTGGCCTAGAGAAAGGCGAAACAAGGCCCTCGGTTGGTGTGGCTGATAGTAGGTGAGTCCTCGGAAAGGGCAATAACTGGTTCGAAACCCATGTCAGGGTCCGAGTTTTGCTCATATCCCCGCATACTATTGGTGGGAATTTGAGAACTGCTGTTGAGCTTCACCCCACTTGTTACAAAAAAAGAGATCATTCACTAATTTAATTATAAACAAATTCTATTCGGCTAAGGCTCTGACGTCTTCGTCTTCAACTGATCCGAGTCGATAACCCACGGTTCTTCTTCGTCTCGATGTGGCATCCTCGCCTTCATATCGAGGTGTATCCTCTTCAGTGGACCATATTTCGAAGGATGCCGCATCTTTCGAAGACGATGATAGTGAAGACGGCACATCGAGACGAAGAAAAACAGTGGCCATTCAATAAGTTTTTTGCACCTAGCAAAATTTAGATGTTTTAAGCGTTTTGAAAATAGATAGTGCAATACAATTTTTGTGTGCTTTTTAGAATATGGAACTTGTATTATTTTTCGTTTTTCACGGCCATTTATTTAAGGGCATATGTAGCACAGCGGTTAGAGGTGCGCATCTACACACGAATAGTCAGAGTCAGCCAATCATCTTTCTGTTTGTACAGTTGAAGGGTTTGACCTAGTAAGTTGCGTATTAGTGTACCCTTCCAGGCTCTGAAGAAGACGATTCTGCCGAAACGTCAGCTACGATTGTGTTGCACGTGCGTTATAGCATGCAAATAAACGTATGCTGGCAACCTCGCGATTGCTGAGAAAGAAAACGACAAATAGTCAGAGTTTCTACCATAACCTAAAACAAACCAAGTGCTCCATCACTTTGGAGCAGAAAAATAAGTAGCAAAGTAGTCTAGGCGAATGAAAGTACTAAGTAGATAAATCGGTCTTCATTCATTTAAGACATTTCATCTCATAGATCTTCGAGTCTGACCAATCCTTGATGTGTACGCCATGCGTTTGTCTCCATTCGTAGCATCCTAGAAGTGCTTTACAACATATCTGGGCTATACAGTGGGTATCGCTTGCCTACCTATCGTTTCGCTGATAAATCAGTTAAATGTTTCTTATGTGGTTGTGGCGAGTGTGTGGTTACAATTTTTTTTCGATCGTGCTGGAGTGGAAGGCTAGTTGACCCTTGGGGCTGGGATCGAACGCATCGTTTTCTTGTTCAGCAATCGCAAGGTTTTTAGACTGCATACATTTTTTTCTATAGAAAAAACACACAATACAATGCAACAGTAGCCGACGTTTCGACAGTACTGCCTTCTTCAGAGCCTGGAAGGGTATACTGATATACAATTTACTAGGTCAAACGCTTCAATAACTCATATAAAAAGACGAAAAACTCTATGGTAATTACATGGTCAACAGCTTCTCGAGAAACACACCGCTTTTTTCGGGACCTCCAATGAGGAAGATTAGAACAGCTGCATATGGTTGATGACTACATCACCCCACACCAGAAATTGGTGCGAAGGGGCCAGGTCGCGTGTTAGATCTGGGCATTCATCCCTGTTATTCACTGTAAGGTTTTTGGCATTTATCCAAAAAGCCTCAAGAAGTTTTCGGGCTGGTGTTTTAGTCTTCTGTGCAAGTATATTATTTTTTACATCAAAATCGTGTCAGCTTTGCTTTTGTATCCTATGCGTTCCTAGTGGGGTACTTTGTTTTGCTTTGCCATCAAAGTGTTTTTTGATACATAAAGGTCTGTTCGTTTCGCCAATATATTCATCCCCGAATGTACTACAAGAGATCAGGTAGATCATACCTGAACTCATACGGTCACCGTCCCTGCCGTAATGCCGTAAGGACGCGATTTGGTATTTCACGTAGATGGTCGTGTAGAGTATCCGGTGGTATTTCTACTATTGCAACTGATCCCTCTGGACCTGCCCTTCTTAAGCATCGCTTCATCGCTACGCTTACTTCATCGATAATGAAGGGCAGGATAAACGGGATTTTGTTTCGGCCAAACCGTTCATTTAGAGGTGTCGCTCTCCTTCTCCTTGCCTAAATTGCTCGATTTTCAGATGGTCTGAGAAATATTTCAGGCTCTCAAGTGAAAATATTCATTTATTTAATGAGATTTCGTAGTAGTTGCCGCATTTATTACTATGCATGAGGTGTTCTATTTTTTATGAGACTTTAGAAATCAATGTGGTTCGGAACAGTGCTCAATCAACTCTACGTAAATTTCAGAATTCGTCCTGGCAGTGAACTGAGCTAATCCACTTTAATGGCGTTGCAGCTTGCTGTCGAAAATTTCGAATTTACTGTAGCGTAGCTCAACAACACGTTACAAAATTATCTGCATCTCTACATGGCAAACCTTCGTAATTTTTAGACTGACGACAAATTTCAACGAGAAGTTTTAAATGTGTTTACTTTAAAAGGATTCGATAGAATATTTGAAGTATTACTGGACTCCTTTGAAGCTGTAGATTGATGAACATCATTGAGATCGTCGTGTTGATTGTCGCTGAATGTCATCGTGTTCATAGTACTACACTGAATAAGCAAATAATAATTTATTAATGAAATCTCTTTAAAGTATTTTCTAGAGCAAATAGTTTTGATAAAAAGTTTTCCATCCTTAATTCGTGTAAATTTCACCGAGGTGTCGACTAAATACCAGTTTAATTTCTAGTAGTCACTGAAAGTTACTTCTTTCACCTTTTACCAACTTTGAAGTTGTGATCTTATTGAGTCAGATATTAAGAATTGACAGTTGCAAAAATGCTCTTCGTTCTGCGGAATCCAACATAAAGTTCATTCGGTCAGAATATGGTTACTGTGCTTCATCGTTTCTAAGACAGCCTTTAAAATATTTTTTGTCAAGTATGAGAAGCATCTTATTTCATGAAATTTGTTGCTTTTATTTTTTCTTTATTTCACATGATCCCATTGTTCATTTAGTTCGACTCATCTTCTCGTACCCGTCATCTGCTAAGATCGTCGGATTTACATGTAAGCATGGCCGAGGTTTAATCATTTTTAGACTTCAAAGTGTCATTGAGTACTCAGCGAGTAGGTTCTCAATGGAGTCCTGGAACAAAGACATAACGGCGTTCCTAGGTCTTAGCCACAGATAGTCAAAAACAGCTTTTATGGACCAGAGGAGGATTTTCCTGGACAAACTTAATGCCAATTTTCTGCTCTTAGAGAGATGGAAGATTTGAATGGACTGGGGCGAGGTGGAACTGCACTTCCGTGACCCAAAATACGTAAAAAGTTCACATATGAGGCGTATGTCAGTTTAGACCAGAACAGATGTATTAACGCAGTGGATGTTTTTCGAATTTTCGAATATAATCGAATTTCTTACAACAGTAATCAGCTAAAAGCACACCGTCTTTTCCATATGAAACTACAAAACACACAGTGATTAACTAGTTGTGAAACATGAGAATGCTTGAAACAACACATTTCATCAAATGGAATCTTTCCAAACGATGATTAGACTTCTTGTGGTCGTGGTTGAAAATCTTGCTCAAGACCTTGTTGATCATCCTTGTTAGCGAGATTAGAGTAGGAGACTTTAGGATTTTGTACGTTTCTGATTAATCTCTCGCAACGTTTTGTAATCACACACAAGTAGATGCCAATCGTACCGAACACCAACAAAAGCATCACCATGAAGATCTAAATTTATCAAATTACGGTATCAGAATAAAGTTTTTGTGCCTGAAAACAGGATTTTCCTTAACCTTTAGACTTAAAAGGATATTCCTTTGCTTAACTCCTACACATAAGCTCCGATACCAATAGGAGCAATTGCTCATGTACACTGGATTGAACTATTTCAGCGATTAAGTTTTCGCATGAAGGCACTTATAGTTGGTGGAGAAACAAACTGCAAATACTTTTTTTGCAGTTTTTTGAACATAACTGCTGCTTCCTAATTCATATTAAAGCAAGTCAAGTAGGCAGTTTCAGTATAACACATTGGGGTGTCTTAATACTAAACCAGTAAACGTTTCAACACAGCAATCCAAACAAGCTCACCGAAAATTCATTTGGTTAAGGGCTGTTCAAAAATAAAAAAGGATAAAGCTGTCGGCGTTGAGCAATCCCTGAGGGATGCGCCATGCATTCGACTTCATCAAGCATCGTTGGAGGTTATTGAATGCATATTTGGCCTTTACAATGACTAGCGGTGGCCTATCGATACATCGAGTCAGCGCTGTTATCTCCCCGACAAGTCTAATACAAATTTGCCAACCCCGAAGGGCTGGTAGACTTAGTGAGCCGCGGACGCGGGGATTGATCCCACACGTGTATCGCTGGGCGTCTCCGACCTTTGTGCTACACGTGCCCTTTCTGATCAATAACTGACTAAATTTAAAGTGAAATAACTCCATAAGTGATAGGATAAACCAATAAACACTATTCCAGCAACTAATCTCTTATATGAAATACTAAAACTATTTTCTTGTCAGTTATACCGCTTTTGAAAACTACCAAGAGTTCTTATTGAATAGGGCAAACTCACGCCAGTGAATCGGCTACCCATCTCTGCTGTAAGCTTTGTTGCACAGGCATCAGACTGAGCAACTCTTGTCAGTAAACGGCCTTTGAGTTCAGGAGGTGAAGCACATCTGAGGAAATGAGTGACATCGACCAGGATTCGAACACTGCTAGCCGCTAAGCGGTTTTTCTTACTTTGGTAATGTGTTGGTGTATTCATATGAGAAGTACTCGTCTTCGAGTAGAAACGCTGTCTCACAAGAGCAATTGATTGGATTGCCACCTATTCCGAGCTCTTCGAGCTGAAAAGACGTTTTCATTCCGTATGAATAAGCCATCAGATTAAAAAGGGTTGAAACTCGACATTAAATTGACAGGATTATACGTTGTGGACAAGGACAAGTGAGAATGGCACACATCGAGTAATAGAATACACAATAAGTGCTCTTTAAGTATTTATTGGTGACTAAGAGCTATTTTAAACTGTAAACCTTTCCTGCAATCCCTACCGTATCCCATGGTAAAAGGTTCTCGTTTATGGTACGTATATTGCAGTTCTCCACATACAGATGCTTTAGATTTCCCACTTTACCGTCACGGCGGTCTGACCAACCGAAAGCATTTGGATGGATCTCGTGCAAACGTGAACAGTTGTTCATATGAACAAGCTGTAACAATGTAAACGTTTAACCACTGAAAAATCTGAACAGAAATCGCTAGAAAGGAATAAACCTCAAGTCTCTCGAGACCGCAAAATGCGCAATCCTGAATTGCGTAAAGGAATGGCATGTCGCCCATGTAGAGTTGCTTCAGTATGTGATCATCCTTGATTAATAAGATTATTATATTCAAAACGCAAATAATCTTGTCTTGTCAAATCAGTACATAAGTCTCACCTAACCTTCAGTGATTGTGCGTGAAATTCAGCAATATTAGTGCCGCTAATGTCCAGATCTTCAAGCTTATCGAGAGCATTGAGTGCACGCGGGACTTCCGAGAATGGGTTTCCCCTTAGCGAAAGCTTCTTCAAGTTACTACAATTAGTTGTAAACTTCTAAAATAATTTGACAACGCACAGTAGCTTGAAAGAAAATAGAACAAAAAAGGAAATAAAATGGTTTTGAAAATAAATGAAAACTGACGGTAACGATTCAAAGGCGTTGACATTTAAATTGTCGATTCCACAATAATCTAAACTGAGTTCTTCCAAAGCATTTAGGCCGTCAAAAATTTCTGCCCTAAAACACACAAAACATTAATTACGTCAAAATGCATTTTAGGAAAATCCTATGTTTAATAACCTACCGTAGTCTGATTTTGTTTCCGTCCAACACGAGTTTACGAAGATTAGGAAGGTGTTCGAAAACACCGTCCTCCAAGTTGATAATTTTATTATTGTCCAAGAATAGTTGATGTAATTCGGTTAATCCGTAAAAGTGGTCCCTAAAGTCGACACTATTAATACGAAATAAAGAACATTCTAGGATATGCAATGGTTAGAGGTGCACAGCAAGTAGTTCTTGCGGGCAAGCTAAGCGCTATATTCTCTCGAGATTGGAACATTGGTAGCAGGCATGTCTAGGAGGTTAAAAAAACACTGAAGTGCAACAAATGTATGTCTTAAAAGTTACTATATAAGCTAAATATGCATTCAATCATCAACTTGGTGCTACGAATGGAGTCGAACGCATCTCGCATTTCTTGATCAATGCCAAACGCTGCGTTCCAATCTTTGATAGAATGAAAGCATTATAAGACGAAAACACCAAACGCTAAAAGCCTCTTCGGCTTCATCCAACCCGTTGAATACGAAACTTTAAGCTTTTTACAGCACCATTTCTACGTGGATTCAAACCATCGCCTACTTCGTGCAAGATTCCACTTCTTGCGGAAAGGATAAAAGCCGCTAGATTCAAAAACAAAGTCCCAAAACCACCATAAAATGGGACTTATTCAATTTACTATTTGGCTGATGAGAAGATGCCGTTTTCGATAACATCAACGAGGAATAGGAGCAACTTATTCAACACCATCACGTTAACGCTATGACAGCTAAGAGTTTGAAAGTCACCAAGGGAGGTACATCTCCAAAAACACTCGAGCAGTTACGCCTGCGTGGAATAGCACGAGCTGCAGGTAACCACAAACTCATGTGCGGACCTGGACAACAATGCAGACAAGCGATAAAAGAAGATCTTAAAGAGGGAAGAGCAGCAGTTACGGTCGAAGCTGCAGAGGCTGGGAAAAGCGTTCGCAAAGCACACCGAAGCTCCGCTGATTAGAAGATCAAGATAGCTGCACTCCGACGCCCAGACGGTACAGTCACAGCGTCCAGAAAGGCAATGGAGAATGTCATTCACAAGAACTACTCAAATCTCTTCGATAGCCACGTACACTTTCCTTCATATGAAATAAAGGAGGATGGTTATGTTATACCAATGGTTCTTCCTTCCGAAGCCCTACATGCCATTTCGTGGGTGAAAAATCGAACAGCACCAAGTTCGGACAGGACAAGTTCAGAACACATGAAGAACCTTCCGCCAGTCCTCGTAAACACACTTGCTCGGCTCTTCACACGATACCTGTCTGAATGTAAGGTCCCCACTCAGCTGAAGACCAGAAAGACCGTGTCATTGCTCAACAAGGGTGACCTACATGATATTGGCAACTATCGTCCTATCTGCTTGCTGTCTGTCGTCTACAAACTTTTCACTCGAATCATCCTAAACAGGATTGGCAGAACACTGGATGAAGGACAGCCATGTGAACAAGCAGGGTTTCGAAAAGGATTTGGTACAATGGGCCACAACCACACGATAACAAGACTCATTGAAGTATCGCGAAAGTACAAAAGACAGCTCTGTTTCACGTTCATCGATTTACAGAAGGCCTTTGATTCAATTGAGATAAAAGTAGTCATGGAAGCCCTTGATACTCGAAGAGTCCCTACTCAGTACATAAAAATTTTTCGTGAGCTGTACAAAAATTTCACAACCAAGATATCACCATTCTACAATGATATTAACATCGACGTCAAAAGAGGAGTTAGGCAAGGCGACGCTATCTCGTCAAAATTATTTACCGCCACCCTCTAGAACCTCATGCGAACACTGGAATGGGACAACAAGGGAGTGAAAATCGATGGTCAGTGAACATTAGCCAAAAAGAACAAATGCTTGCCGATTTTGATAAGGCCTGTGCAAAGATTGGTCTTCAACTAAATCTCACAAAAATGTTGTTTATGAGGGACGGACTGATTTCGTATGTCCCACTCATGTTCAACGGAACGAGTATCTCCAAATGCTCCAGTTACGTCTGTATTGGTAGGCATATCAACATGATGAACGACTTAGCTCCAGAGCAGAGCAGAAGCAAGCGAGCGGGTTAGGGTAATTTCAAGAGCATCGGGGACTTAGTGATGAAAAAAAGAACAACGGACTTCGTGTCCACGCTTTGGACTAAACGGTACTTCCTGCCTTGAGGTATGCGTCGGAAACTTGGTCGCTACGTAAGCAAATTGAAAGATCACTCAGTGTTATTGAATGCGCAGTCGAAAGAATAAGGGCAAGAGTGTTTCGTGTCACATAAGTAAAGGAAACAGAGAAGAGATCCAAAGCTCCGATCTGTGTCAACGACTAAAAGTCAAAGATGCCGCTCTGTACGCCAAGCAGTCGAAGGTAAGTTGGGTCGGACACGTAATGCGTATGAATGACAACCGATGGTCAAGAGCCGTTAGTGACTGGATTTCTCGGGATGTCAAACATACTGCAGGAAGATCACCGACCCGATTTTCAGAGCTTTTCACGAAAAGCCTAGTAGAAAGATGTGGTGCTCAACGAGTCGCTAGAGCGAGCAGAACCCACTGGGCTACTCTTGCACGCGACAGGGAAAAATGGAAGATTTACTGGCGCCCGCTCGAGTTTCTCGACTGTCGGAGACTGCAGGTGATACAGATGAGCTGGTAGCCATTTCTGGAATATTTTTTGGAAACTTTTCTAACCTTTTCAATTGCTTGATTTTGTTGTTGCTCAGGTAGAGTTTACTGAGATTTCGAAACGATGAGAACGTTCCAATCTCTATGTGAACGATTCGATTATTGGAGAAATCCATTTCGCGTACAGTTTTTTCGTGACCAGGCAAAATTCTTCTCTAAAATCAGGTGCTTTTGTTGTAGTAATGAAAAAAAAACAAGAGGAAAACCGAATTGGGTAAAATAAACTGGAAGTTGAAACATTTTTAAAAGATCTAACCTGTTTAAGAGAAACAATTGAGTTCTCACGAAATGTGGCCCTAAGAACATGAAACGATTTATTACTGATGTCCATATCAGCAGTGTTTAGCGGCAACTCATCTTTAAATATAACCTAAAATCTTAGTTTACTCAGCTTTATTGCACCACAAATTTTCAGTTTCAATGAAACCAACAATCATCATTTTGGCTCTAATTCGCTTTCGAAGTGCTGAACTAAGTTCTCCAGTATTGCTAGTAGTGTCAATGTTTGCATGTGAATTAAAAGCTCACCGTAGAGTTTTTTAAAGCTAATATAAAGAAAGAAAACGATGACTAACATTGTCACAGTTGATCTCCTCTTGTTCACAGTGACAAGCTTCCGCATCGGTGCCATCACATGCCAGCCATCCACCGTCGGTATCCATTGTTTCTTGACGATCACTGGATTCCGTCTCATTTCGTTCATTCCGAATCGGTTCGCTTGCATGAACAAAGTAGTAAACGGAAACCAACACCAAAAATGTGTGAACCAATCGCGGTACCATACTGTTTCCTGAAATACTGAAAAAAATCATTTTAGCTACTAGATGAGCTGTGTCTTCAAAATAAAGATGATTTCTTTAGAAAGAGCCAACATGAAAAGATAGAGCTTCCATTGCTTAAGAATATGGTTAGGCTGAACTACAACGCAAGTTCACCGTGAGCATAGAGTTGATTTCCATGACGTACATATTGAGTTGGCCAACCTATAGTTAAAGACTGCTTCAATTTCTCATAACTCATTGAAAAGTTGGATGAAATTTTAGAAAACTAACAGAGAGAAGGCGAAACGAAGGTTCCGCATGGTGTGAAGGTGAACGCGTAAGCCCCTGGAAAGGCTAGCTGCGCATTCGTTCTCCACCGCAGACACCTGCGGTCTGGTTTTTTGCAATTATCTCAACATCATTATGGTTGTATCATTGAATAGTCTTAATTCTTCAGCTATACGGAAATTTAGACGAATTGTCAGGTCAAAAAGGCTGCTTGAGTTGACGAATAGAGACTTTTCACATCTATTTTCATTCCTCAACAAATTTTCACTTTCTTATTAACAGCCCACTTGTATTGTATACACTTACTAGAAGCTATATAGCATGAGTCGGTTCTACGCTATGTGATAAAATTGCACTTAGCGGGATCATAAGGTGCGCGCAAGTCATGATTGCTACCGTGCACCTGAAGTGCCACCAGCCTCTACCAAATTACATGCCTTGAAATCAATCCCACAATGCCTTTTTGCCATCTTAGAATGATGAGTATATATATGCTGGAGTGCCAGCCTTTTCGACCCAAATCATATTCCCTATTTCTCTGGCTCACGTGTCTCGATGTTTGTGTGATTGATGCTCCGCAGTATTCCACCATCTAAGACGTATTTCCCTTTTTCCACAATGCAATGCTCATTATTATATACGCATTTTATTAGTCATGAATTGAATTTTATAGGCTTCAGTAATATTCCAGATGATAAAATCTCCTTCAGTGGTCATTGACTGCTTGTCAACAGTGAATAAAAAGAAGCCCAAGGTACGAAAGACAGTGTGGAATCTGTTGCAATCCTCACTATTTCCTATATTCCAGTAAAAATTTTCGTTCATTATTCTACGATGGAGAGTCAAAAGTGACAAGTTTAATGATAACGTAAAGTGATGAGGTCAGTTATGAAGTGTCCAAATGTTGTAGCTCTTCGTGAACCGTGACTTTCTCTGCCAGTCAATCCGGAATGGATCAAATGCTTTCACTTTGGTTCAAGAAACTTTGTGATTTCTAAGGGTTACTGATGAGTAGCTTTGGATCTGTCTGTGACAGACAAACAGAAATGGATAAATCAATAATCAGTTGTATAACCTAACAACTGATGAAGAGATGAAGAATTGAAAACATCTATCGGTACTTACCTTAGCTCTATCGTTGCTGGCAACATTACTGCTATAAGCAGAAAGATTTGTCAAAAAAAAACGTTGTTATAAAATACCAAATATAGAGGACAGGTAGTCTCGGGCAGCGATCGAGCACAAAAGTAGTTGAGATTAAAAAAAAACCCCAGAGTAGTTAAACTGCGGCAGATACGACAAGCTATATATCACTCTTACTGTCGCGATTGTGTTTATAACGACTCAGATATCTCTAATGGTAAGTTTGGAAGTAATCCTAGAAGCAACAGAGCATGGTTATCAAACAGTTGGCCTATAAAATCGTCCTTAACAGTCTGACATATTAAAACGTTCATGGCGATTGGTTAACACAGAAATTTTTCACCCAGATCGATCTTTCTTCCATTCTGTGCGATTTTTCTGCCTTTGTACAGTTTCGTAAACCGGTTATTCTTTGATTATTAGTTCACATATTGATCTATGTCTAACAGAATCTAAGAGATTGGTTTCATATATAACAGCACCTGATTTTAAATGATAATGAAAGCGATTAGAAACATCAATGAAGTGATAAAATGACGCTTTTCGAAAAAGTGTGAGAATGCTTTCGTTACTGTTCTTCTTTAGATATGTGTAATGAGCAAGGAAAGAAGCAATCATTTTGGGCACACTATGGCAACTAACCTCAACTTGTACAGATAGAGGTCGGTGAGCAAGACGATGCAGGCAGTAAAAGTGAGGAAATCAATCGCCTTTATTATCAGACCGTATTGACAAGTGATAAGCGATCGTTCAAAGACATCCAATACGTCCTTCATGGAATCCGTCAATCATAATGGCAATCAGTATTCAAATTCGATGAGCTGGACATAACTGATACTGTATCAAATCAGTTCAAAAAGTCATTGCAAAAGTAGACGAAAAATCGCAGAAGCAGCATTTTTGCATGCTTTCCTCGTATGCAGCTGATGTAGATCGGAGATTTTTTGCTGCCTTCTAAAAGTTACGCAAACCATATTTTATTTCGTATAACTTCTCGTTTGCTACCTTTTATTATTTATGGCTGGGTGCTCTGTGAAGTATAACCATAATGTTGTTGAGATAAATAAGTAGAAAATAAAAGGTTAGCACTGTGATTTCGACTACACCCTCAGCTTAACTGCGTTCAATGCCGATTTGTACTCCCAGATCAATACCGTTGATGGATGAT